GGGCCTGCCCTCCAATGTCCTGAGCCACAGCATCAGGACTCTCATAGCTGAAGTCTCCTATTGAAAACGACGGCCCTCAGACCCACGTCGTCTGCTAGGAAGACTAAACCACAGCCTGCTCGGGGCAGGACCCAATGAAGCACACTTGGCAGGGGCTCCCACACCGCCAGGTGATCTCCTAAGGGAACCAGTCTCGCGAGACTGGCTTGTGGTGCACCTAGAGCAGCTAGCTCAGTGCCCGGAAGCAGCGGACTAGCAGGGGACGGCCGTACTAGCTGCTCTAGATACCTCCGTAGCTGCTCATTATAATATCAGGCATAATATGCTTGTGTAACTGATGTTTGTGCAACTGGCGAGCTCTTTGACGCCCTCCGTATCAATCTCCTCGGAGAAAGACAGGCGGAGCGTCGCGCCCTCTTCCCGGTGGGAAGGACCGCAGCGCGGGCTTCCGAAACCCGAGAGCGGGCGCCGGATCTGGTGATTAGGAAGCAGCGCACAGGCTGTGTGTATCCCCACTCGTGATATAACGTTTTCTTTGGGCAGGGAGGAACACACAACCTACAACGTGGCTTGCTCTCGCCCTTGAAATGCTTTGTCTTTGCATGAGCTTAGACATAGCTGGAGCTTATAGACTTTCACAATTGACAGACAACAATAAATATGACTGACACACACAGAGCGCTTCGCTGAATGACAGAAAGCTGATGCTGGCTCCGCCGCACGTGCTTTTATAGCTTCCTGGTCATGACGTCACCCGCCCGTGACGTCCCGCTCAGCTATTGGACTGATTTCACATGTGATTCAGAGCATGGGTCGCAGAAGGCGTTCCCCTAGCGTTTTCTGATGCAGCTCGAGTTCCTGAAGAGGAACCTCTGTTTTTTTCATACTGAGGGACGTGTCAAAACAATTTTATGTGAAAAAAAAAAAGAATACAATTTGGATGTTGTTCTAGAATATTCTAAAATATTTATTTAAACAGACAGAAGCACTTGAAAACCTACTGAAAAGAATAATAAAAAAAAAAAACATTTGAAAGCATGTGAACCAAAAAACCAACCACTCAACTGATTCTGCTCCTTTCTGAATCATATACCATATTCCTTAAACATTTTATGGCATATTTACAACCAGTATTCGACAAGGGGTGGTATTTTGAGCTAAATGTGGATATCGCTTTCAGTCGGCCAAGTGCTCCAACTCATACTGCCCTCTGACTCGGTGCATCTGCACAGCCCTGCAAGAACCCAGCCGGTAACCCAAGGCCTCCTGGTCTGAACGCAGCTGTGCATTCTGGGACAGATCCACCCTCCTGACAAAGAGCTCAGTGTGCTTCAAGGCCTCCTCACACACCGCAGTGCGTCCTAATCCAGACTCTTCATCATCTTTTGTCCACTAAGATGTAATAGATCTGCACCTCTGAAAGCAATAGTCAAGCAGGGCCGGCCAATAAGGCGAGCACAAGAGGGGGGGCTTTGTGGCAGAATTCAATGAAAAGAGGCTCATTCTCTTTTCCCTATGTTTTTTTTTTATTTATTGAGCGCCGAGGTTGTTTATCCTCCCCTCAGGACCGCCCTCCCCCCACCCAAACTCTCCAGCGACCGGTGGCGCACAAGACATGACAAGAAATTTAAACAAACGAGCAATCTGTACACCCTCTTCAGAGCCTTTGCACGTTTAATGCTCCGGCGCTGTTTGGCCGCTCTGAGGAGGAGACTGCACACTTTGAAGACCATTATACTCCGATGGACACCTCCTCTTCCCCGGCTCGCAGTGAGGAAGCGGCATTGTCTTCCGAGGGCGGCAGAGGTCGCCATTTGAATGAGTGGCTTTGGTGTGTGTGTTGACAAAGAGCTCATCTGACAAAGAGGCAATGTCTACTGCTGCAGAACCCTGCTGAGTAAATCCTGCACAGCATAAGGGATATGCGGGGAGAAAATGTTCCCCCCTCTCGCCGCAAAAAGCTGGGGAAAAAGAATCTTCATTTTGAGGGAGGCAATTCTTTGTTTAATCGGACATTCTGGTGTCTGGCTCTGACCGCACGATTATCAGGAAAGAGAGGAGGGGATGGAAAGCTCGCTGTTGTGATGGTGGGCACTCAGAGAGTGTGTCAGCAGTGAAGGGTTTTTGGCAGGATCACAACACAGGTGTTAATGCAACAGCAGCCAAATCTCAGCACTCCACCTTTCCCCAGGCCTGGACATCTACACTTCTGATCACCTATACTACAATTAAACTTGCTCTTTTTCTTGCTGTCCTCCCAGTCCAGTTATAGGAACTAGGCGGCAAAAATTAATCAGTGTGAAGTAATATGTCAAAACCATTAGAATAGTTACATATATAACGTTACATGGAAACCTGGAAATATCATGTTATTTTAAACAGGATTTCTAGGCCTGGAAAAGTCATTGATCTTTAAAAGTCATACATTTCTATTCATATATATCTTTAAATATGTGACCCTGGACCACAAAACCAGTCTTAAGTCACTGGGGTATATTTGTAGCAATAGCCAAAAATACATTGTATGGGTCAAAATGATTGATTTTTCTTTTATGCCAAAAATCGTTAGGATATTACATAAAGATCATGTTCCATGAAGATATTTTGTACATTTCCTACTGTAAATATATTAAAACATATAAATTTTTGATTAGTAATATGCATTGCTAAGAATTCATTTGGATAACTTTAAAGTCGATTTTCTCAATAGTTTGATTTTTTTGCAACCGCAGAGTCCAGATTTTCAAATAGTTGTATCTCAGCCAAATATTGTCCGATCCTAACAAACCATACATCAATGGAAAGCTTATTTATCCAGCTTTCAGATGATGTATAAATCTCAATTTCGAAAAATTTACCCTTATGACTGGTTTTGTGGTCCAGGTTCACATATACATTTTTCTAGAAAATGTTCACTAAAATATTATAATTAAAACAGAAATACTGTTTCTGCTTATCACAAGTTTTTTTTTCTATAAATGCACATTTATAATATATTTATATAATTTTAAATTATTTAAAAAACTTAAAATAAAAAAACAACTATATTCTTGTTTCTGGTACAGAAAACTACTAAATTAAGAAAATAAAAGTCATATTAGGACATTTTATGGAAAGAAATCTTCAAATTATTCAGTCACATTTAACACTTTGCTAGATGAAAGACAATAAAAGGTCAGGATCTTGAAATCTTAAGGGCAATTCCTCTCATCAGCTAATCTGTCACAGGAAATCCCTGAGCACGAGCTAATTTCACCAGTCCAACATGGGACATGGACCATGAATAACTGCCTCCTCCAGTTTCAGACTACTCTTCAGCAAATTTGTATTCATGTTCCATGTGAATGATAATTTCTTCTTAAGAAGAAGAAGAAAAAGAAAAGAAAGCCTGTCTAATCTAATCTAAGAGTCGCTGTGCCGTGTTTCACTTATTATTTCTAGTCATTAAATTCCTCCTCATGTTCTTGATGGAGAATGAACCAAGAGAATTGTTCTGATCATCCGAACGTTTATCATGCATTCAAAGGTAAACACTGTGAATGATAAGAGTTTTAGTTAGTAAAATTGAAATGAAGCTCAACAAACAGGGAAAAAAGGCAATGGAGAAAATGTAAATGAAAGTCAGATGGCAGTGCGAGAGTCTGGTAGTATGAGGATAGAAAAAGTCAAAGAAGTCAAGAGAGAAAGTGGTCCGTTTGATCGACATTACAATCACAACATGATGTTAGTCATGAGACTGGACATAATGTTTTACACTATTGTCATTATAACCAACTGAGTAAAGTTTAGGGAAGAATTGATTGTATGACAGGCAGGCGTATGATTGAGTGACAGGATGACAGAATGATGAAAGGAGGGAAATGGGACAGAGGAAAGGAAACACCCCCATTAGATTGATAGAGTATCAGGTTTTTGACATATTGATGTCACAAACAAGCGAACATTTAGAAATTGTAAAGGTATTGGCATTTCCATATTAACTAGAGGTCATTTACTGTACATATGGAAGTTTTAAATGTACAGTCTGTTCTAAAACTACTACTGTGTTCTGTGCAAAACTTTATTACTGTTGTTGCTGCTGCTGCTGCAAAACAAAAAAAAAAACCTGACTAAAATATTATGTGGACATAAAATGATAAAGTATACTTTCAAATACAAATACTGTCTCTGCTTAAATTGAGCTCACTGGGACAACACTGGCACTGAACATATTAATAATTGACGACTCTCACCACACTAAATGTGCCATATCAATATGATTAATGAGCAGCAATTGTTTGCGTTTTGTCTTTAGTTTTAATCAGGCTCAATCTTCCATGCAAAACAGAGATAATGGTGTCATTTGTAACCAATTAAATAGGCTCAGAAAATTCAGTGGATTCTTACATGCTGTAGACACGATCTTATTAGCGCTAAGATTAGCCTAATTGATGCAGAGACAACAAAGCCTAGCGGAAATCTGTGCGGACACGAAAAATGCTGAACTGTCTGTAATATACAAGTTGGCATGTCAAATATTTTCATAAATCTGTCGAGATATGCAAACTGTCACACCTACACAGCACACTGTAATTATCAAATTCAAGAATCACAAGACATAGCCTTGGGTCATACCTACTTGTGTGTAAGTTTGGCTATAGTTGTGAGTGCCTTTTTTTTGTGTTTTTTTTTTTTTGTTCAAATGTCCTCTCTGATATATTGAGGATTGAAGTGAAAACATGAGGATTTGAAGTGGTTTTCATAATCTGAAGTGCTAAATCAGTCAAATCTTTGCTTTCAATGCACTGATACCTATACTGATGGGCTTATGGTTTAGAAACTCTGTTTAAAACCATGAGTCTGTGATGCGTGTACTTTGAGGACAAATTTGTGTCAAATCAACAGGGGAAAATGTAAAAAGTTTTTAGGTATAGGGTAGGTTTTGAGTTATTCTGTAGTCATTATTATATGCTACCGCTCAAGTTTGGGGTTGGTAAGACTTTTTAATGTTTTTGAACTAAGTGTCACCAAGGCTGCATTTAGTAGTAGCAGTATTAGTAGTTATTAATTGTATTGCAATGAAGATAGCCTTAAATGCTGACATTGGGATAATACAAGATTTGCATAAACACAAAAATACAGCAGTTAAAATTATAGAAGATTTTTTTAATTACCATATGATAGAAAATCTGAAAAAGGTCCCTGAGTGAGCGTACTTCATATAAAAGTTTTCTACTTGCATTAAAACCGGGACATTCCAATATAATACGTTTAAAGCAAAGGGGGGCCCAAGGTTGCTTTTATGTATGTGTTTTTAAAAAATACAGTAAAAACAGCAATATGCTGAAATATCATTACAATTTAAAATAAAGGTTTTCTATTTTAATATATTTCAAAATGTTATTTATTTCTGAGATGACAAAGCTGAATTTTCAGCTGTCACTGCTACAGTTTTCAGTGTCACATGATCCTTACTGATAATATTACAGAAAAATGTATATACATTATATGTTGAAAATAGTTGTGCTGCTTAATATTTTTGTGAAAAACCTAATAAAGTTTTTTTTTTCAGGATTCTTTCATGAATAGAAAGCTCAAAAGAACAGCAATTATTTAAAATATAAATCTTTTGTAACATTATAAATATTTTTACTTTCACTCTTGATCAATTCAGTGCGTCCTTGCTGAATAAAAGTATAAATTTATTTATTTTTTAATCTTCCGGTGCCCAAATTTTTGAACAGTAGTATAATTAGCTCAATTTAAAAGTAAAAGAAGTCTATGGCATGTCTGCATTTAGTGTGCCTGTGTTTGTGTACACAAAAACAAGCGTCGGCTGATAGAGGATGCTTGGAAAACAGCCGAGGAGGACAACAGGGTTCAGACTCCAACCATATTCGACAACCTGATATGAGCCAAGCTAATGGAAAACTACAGATTGCCATCAGAGAGACAGTGGGGCACTCTGGAACAATGAACAGACAGACAGACAGACAGACGGTCATTGTGTCACTGTGGCTCTTGTCTCCTCACCTGTTTGATGCACAGCAGCCTGTCATTGGTCTGCTGTATGTGCCTATCCATCGAAGGAATCGAGTTCATCTTGACTGCTGCCTCTTTCTCACTACCTGGAAGCCATTAAAGTTCTTCTCTCTGAAAAATGGACAGACAAAAGAGGAGTGTGTCAGGCTGAGAGAAAAACGGGACAGCACTTCAGCGCAAATCTGTGATCTCCTCACACGCTCAACAAGGCTCTGAAAGACACCGAGCGCTCAGATGACATTTCTGTAGTGGGTGAGGAGGAGCCGTCCCATCCATCTTTCATGTCGATGAAGTCGCTCCAGTGTAACTTTGACACTCCTCAGATTCTTACAAGTACAACTGTGATCTTCAAAAAATGCTAGCAAAATAAACCGCACAACTCAATAAGGATGGAGCTGAAAAAGTGTGTGAGTGCTGAAAGGAAGAACTGTGACCAATTACACTTCAATCAGACCTCTGCAAATGCTTGAACCCCATCAGTGTGTCTATTACACGCTGTTAAAGGTATCAGGCCTTACATTCAAGGTTATCAATTTAGCCACTACGGGCTGATTTACAGTTGCGTTCGCTGGCAAATAAACACAAGGGCCTGTGGCCAGTGCTGTAACTCACTGCGCCGACATGCGGAAGGATTAATGGGTGAGTAATGGAAGCATCAGGGCTTCATCTCTCATCTGGCCACTTCACAGCAATCACTCTTAAAATTCCAAGGCACAAATGTGGAAAAAAAATAGGCAGACAGCAAAATTCCCCCACCACACCCTGCAGCGGTCTGATAAAGCTCTCTTCAAATACCTCAGCTGTGTGCGTGACAGGACGGGGAGCGTCTCTGGCTCTCAGGAGGGTTAGATAGTGCCCTATATATGTTAAAGCAGTCAGTGCATTTCAGGAAGTGATGTCGGGACAGGCATTAAGAGTGCTTTCTTAAGCCCGCATGAAATGTTTAAGCATGTAAGTCACGGATGAGGCGACATAGGCCTGGTACCTGCATAATGGAAGTGTGCTGAACTCACAACCTCAGAGTCACACAAAAGCACAACTTGCTCCCATTTTAACCAAAAATCTCCAGCAAATGTGCAAGAGATTGAAACACTGCAAAAAATGTATATATTTATCACTATTTGTATTGAAAAAAAAACAAAAAATTCAAATCATTCTCAAAAAACTTTTATTAAGTTTATTATATAATATATTATATTTCTTTAGTATAGAAATATTTATCTCCCATATAATTATCTTTATCTTTTGATAGATTTACACAACCATTCAAAAGTTTGCGGGTGGTAAGATTTTTTGAATAAATATCATGCTCATTAGGGCTGGATTTATTTGATCAAAAATACAGTAAAACAGTAATATTATATATTGAAAATAATATATTTTGATCAATTTAATAAATCCTTGTTGAATTAAATGATTAATTTCTTTATTCATTTTCAATTCTTAACGACTTTTCAACTGTATGCTTGAAAAATAAAATAAAATAATAAAAAGATATATTCTCTCTAAACAAGTCATATATTAAACAGTTTGGCTTCTCAATTATATATATTTATATACTAAATTATATACTAATTTGGCAAAAGGCTCTAACAGGATTTGGGTCGTTGTGGCTGCAGTGACTGTCAAAAGCCAGCAGGTGTCTCTCTCTCTCTCTCACACACTGCAGTCCTGCCACCCTGACCATCAGCACCACCACAAATAACTGCTGAGTGTTCCTTTAAGCCTTTACAAGCGCTACAAATCCTCTGCTCCAACCCACTAACAGGGAACACTCAAAGCAGAGGCTCATCTGTCTGACCTTGTGGCTATTGATTAACTATTTCCCTCCTTACCCCGCTGTCACTCTCACCTCCAGCTACCAGCAGTGAAAGGTAGAAGGGGGGGGTTAAGAATGCTCTTACACTCCTCCTCCTCCTCCTCTTTCTCGTGAGATGGCTTTTGTTTGGTGTGCAAACTCTAAGCTACGGGCTTCAAGAGTGTGATGATGACATGAAAACATCTTTACAGTGGCTGCTGAACATCCTGATCTATGACGTCAAAGAGCCGTAAAGCAGGGTCCAAAACTCCACACAGCTTGATCACGCATCTCTCTCTCTCTCTCTCTCTCTCTCTGTCACTCTCTCACCCCTCAGGCAATGAAGGCTGAAAAACACCAGTTATATAACACACCAACTACCTCAATGAAAACAAACTCTTGTTCTCATTATTCAAAGAGAAGCAGAAGCTAGCCATGGAGTCATTCCAAACAAAAAGTTTACAGTCAGATACTTGGCCACGCTGGAAGAATTTCACAGCATTTCACTGCTCTTGTACCTAACTAACTCAAATCACATACTCTTTATATAAAATAATAATAATTATAATACTTATGTTTATTATTATTTGAATGAGTAATAATTAAATATAATTGTATATGTGTTTCTCCCTCTGTGTGTGTGTGTGTGTGTGTGTGTGTTTATTTTGCCTTTTGGTGGACATTATATCTCCACTCCTGCACTCTTACACTTAAAACGTTTAAAAAAATTGCGTTGAAGTTTTTTTTAAACAATTAAAATGTATGTAA